CAGCAGCAGCAGCAGCAGCAGCAGCAACTGCAGCAGCAACTGCAGCAGCTGCAGCAGCTGCAGCAACTGCAGCAGCAGCAGCAGTATCTCCAGCAGCCGCAGCAGCAGCAGCAGCAGCAGCAGCAGCAACAATTGCTGCTGCCTCTCTCCTCTGTTATTCCTTTTAATCGTCCCGTTTTATCTTCTGCTGCAGCAGCAGCAACAGGAGCAGCAGCAGCAGCAGCAGCAGCAGAAGCAGCAGGAGGAGGTTTAGGTATCCTTTCAGGTGTACGTACACCTGGTGAGCTGCTACAAAACGTAGAGAAAACAATAAAAACGGTTTATTATACAGCAGAAGAAGCAGAGAAACTAACCGATAAATTTATTGCTTATAAAGCAGCAAACCCCAACGACAGTTGGATAGCAGCACTCAACGCGGTAGAATATGCAGCTAAGGAACTAGACAAACACCGCCACCAGCAGCAGCAGCAGCAGCAGCAGCAGCAGCAGGGGGAGAGGGAGAGAGAGAGGGAGAGGGGGGGAGAAGGGAAGGGAGAGAGAGGAGGGATACAGCAGCAAAAGGAAAAAAAAGACAACAAGCCGCAGAAACTGCAGCAGCAGCAAGATTCACAGCAGCAGCAGATGCAGCAGCAACAGCACCAGATACAGCAGCAACAGCAGCAGATGCTGCTACTGCAGCAGCAGGAACTAAAACAGCAGCAACAGCAGCAGCAGCAGCAGCAGCAGCAGCAGCAGCAGCAGCAGCAGATGTTATATCAGCAAATGCAGCCACAGATGCAAGAAGCGCTGCAGCAGCAACTGCAGCAGCAACTGCTGCAGCACTACCAGCAGCAACAGCTGCAGCAGCAGCAGCAGCAGCAGCAGCAACTACAACTGCAACAGCAGCACCAGCAAATACAACTGCAGCAGCAGCAACTACAAATCCAGCAGCAGCAGCCGCACCTGCAGCAGCAGCAGCAGCAGCAGCAGCAGCAAGAACTAACACAACAACTGACACAGCAACAGCAGCACCAGCAACTGCTGCGGCAGCACCAGCAGCTCCAACAGCAGCTGCTGCAAGCACAGCTGCAGCAACTTCTACAGCAGCAGCAACAGCAGCAGCAGCAGCAGCAGCAGCAGCAGCAGCAACTACAACTGCAGCAGCAGCAGCCGCAACAGCAGCAGGAAGCAGCTGACATAAACTACCCCATCGAGCCCCGGGGTTTGGAGCAGCAGCAGCAGCAGCAGCAGCAGCAAGACCAGCAGCAGCAGCAAGACAAGCAGCAGCAGCAGCAGCAAGACAAGCAGCAGCAGCAGCAAGACGAGCAGCAGCAGCAGCACGACAAGCAGCAGCAGCAGCAGGAAGAGCAGCAGCAGCAGCAAGACAAGCAGCAGCAGCAGCAGCAAGACGAGCAGCAGCAGCAGCACGACAAGCAGCAGCAGCAGCAGGAAGAGCAGCAGCAGCAGCAAGACAAGCAGCAGCAGCAGCAGGAAGCATCCCCTTCTGCTTCACCTTCCCCCCGTCGTTTAGCTGCAATGCCTTTACCTCTCAGCAGCAGCAGCAGCAGCAGCAACAGCAGCAGCAGCAGCAGCAGCAGCAACAGCACCTTGCGCAGCAGACGCGACCGAGCCCGTGTTCGTGCTGTTGTGATGAGTGAAGCTGAAGCAGCATTTGCCCCGCAGCTAAGCAGCAGCAGCAGCAGCAGCAGCAGCAGCAGCAGCGGCGGGAGCAGCAGCAGCAGCAGCAGCGGGAGAAGAAGCAGCAACAGAGGTAGTCGAGAGATAAGAGCGGATGGTTCTGTATCTGGCTCAACAACAGCAGCAGCAGCAGCAGCAGCAGCAGCAGCAGCATTGATAGGTGGGGGAGGAGGAGATATACAGCTGCTGCTGCAGCGGCTGGTTGCTGCTCCTTCTTGTGTACTTGTTGGGGTTAGGATAACTGGGCTTCCTGCTGCTATAGATAGACGCAGCAGCATGAGTGCATGTCAAGCATCATGCCGTGCTGCTCAGCAGCTAGCAGCAGCAGCAGCAGCAGCAGCAGCAGCAGCAGATGCAGCAGCAATAGAAAAAATAAAACATGTACCACAACCCTGCCACTTTATATCTTTTAATATTAAAAATAATTTTTGTTATAAATTTGTTTCTCTCGCGCTCACACAAACAGCAGCAACATATATCTCTACTAGCGCCAATTGTCCTATTTCTGCTGCTGTTGCTGCTGCTGCTGCTGCTGCTGCTGCTGCTGCTGATACAAATTCACAGGCGACAACACTCAATGAGGGTGCTGCGTCCAGCACGCAGCAGCAGCAAATGATGCTCATGCAAATGCAACAGCAACAGCAGCAGCAGCAGCAGCAGATGCAGCAGCAGCTACAACTGCAGCAGCAGCAGCAGCAGCAGCAGATGATGATGATGATGCAGCAGCAGCAGCAAGACCCAATGCTTGAAGGCAACGCTCATGATGTTGTAGGGGAACTATTTAACTTTCTTTTTCCGGCTGCTGCTGCAGCAGAAACGCAGCTGCTGCTCTCTGAAGCTGCACATACACCCCAACTCGGAGGAAATGCTGCAGCAGAAGCAGCAGCAGCAGCAGCAGCAGCAGCAGCAAAAGCAGCAGCAGGACAAGCAGCAGCAGACACTGCAGCAACACGCCCTCATACATCCCTCCTAGATAGGCAGCCTCCCCCACAGCTACAGCAGCAGCAGCTGCTGCTGCAGCAGCAGCAGCAGCAGCAGCCGCTTGATTTTGCTGCTGCTCTTGCAGCAGCAGGTGCCCCCACGTATCTCTACCCTACAGCAGCAGCAGCACCAACAGCAGCAGCAGCAGCAACAGCAGCAACAGCAGCTGAGCTGCAGCAGCTGCAGCAGCAGCAGCAGCAGCAGCAGCAGCAGCAGCAAAACCTATATTTGGGGGGACAGCAAACGCCCTCCTCTCCCTGGCTGTCTCTGCAGCAGCTGCAGCAGCTGGAGCAGCAGCTGACGCAGCAGCAGCAGCAGCAGCAGCAAGCAGAACTGCAGCAGCAACAACAACAGCTGTTGCAGCACCAGCTACTGCAGCAACAACTGCTGCAGCAACAGCAGCAGATAGAGCAGCAGCTGCAGCAGCAGCAGCAGCAACAGCAGCAGCAGCATGGGGCCCCCATCAGCACCCCACCTATCTTCTCCGTACAAGCCGAGGGGCCCCCAGACCCTCCCGAGGGGCCCCCGGGGGGCCCCCTTGTATCAGCAGTTGATGATGAGGAGGCAGCAGCAGCAGCAACAGCAGCAGCAGCAGCAGCAGCAGCAGACAGACAGTCTGAGCGAGGGAGAGGGAGCTCAACAGACACCGCAGCAGCAGCAACTGCTGCTGCAGCAGAAGAAGAAACTGCTGCTGCAGCAAAAGCAGCAGCAAAAGACGCAACAGCAACAGAAGGAGAAACAGAAGCAGCAACTGCTGCTGCAGCAGAAGCAGCAACCGCAACTGAAGAGGAAGCAACAGATGCTGCTGCTGCAGCAACTGCTGCTGCAGCAACTGCTGCTGCAGCAGATGCAGCAGCAGCATCAGAAGAGGCCGTAGGAGAAGCAGCACTGGAGGGGCAGGAAGACCCAGAGCTGCATGCGCAGCAGCAGCAGCAGCAGCAGCAGCAGCAGCAGTATGAAGAGCAGCAGCAGCAGCAGTATGAAGAGCAGCAGCAGCAGCAGCAGCAGCAGCAGCAGCAGCAGTATGAAGAGCAGCAGCAGCAGCAGCAGCACGAAGAGCAGCAGCAGCTGCAGCTACAGGACGCCCTTTATAATCCTAAGAAGGAGAAGCAGCAGCAGCAGGTGGAGGGTGCGGCTGCTTGGGAGCGGAAGAAGCAGCAGCAGCAGCAGCAGCAGCAACTGCAGCAGCAACTGCTGCAGCAGCAGCAGCAACAACAACTGCAACAACAGCAACTGCACGAGGCACAGCTGCAGCAGCAACGGCTGCAGCAGCAGCAGCATCTGCTGCAGCAGCAAAAGCTCCAAGAGGAGCAGCTGCGCCAGCAGCAGCAGCAGCAGCAGCAGCAGCAGGAAGAAGAGAAGCGGCAGCAGGAGATACGGCAGAAGCACCTGCAGCACGTGATGCAGCTTCTTGCTGAGCAGCCAATGCAGCTGGAGCAGCAGCAGCAGCAGCAGCAGCAGCAGCAGCAGCAAGAGGACCCGTACTCGTTTCATCAGGATATCCACGACCAGCAGCAGCTGCTACAGCCTCAGCCACAGCAGCAGTTGCTGCAACAGCAGCTGCTGCAGCAGCAACTGCTGCTGCAGCAAGGTGGAGAGCAGCAGCAATATCCGCAGCAGCAGCAGCAGCAGCAACAGCAGCAGCAGCACTATCAATTCCTCAGTCCATCACTTCTAGACCAAGTCACACTACCTTCTTACGACATGCAGCAGCAGCAGCAGCAGCAGCAACAGCAACTGCAGCAGCAACTGCAGCAGCAGCAGCAGCAGCAGCAGCAGCAGCAGCAGTTGCTTCCTGTTTCTGTTCCCCTCGGTACCGGTCGGGATGACGCAGCGCTGGATCGGGGCTTCATGCAGACCCCTTCAGCAGCAGCAGCAGCAGCAGCAGCTGCAGCAGCAGCAGCAGCAGCAGCAGCAGCAGCATCTAACAGCAGCAGCAGCAGTACGCCGCAATACCCTATATACAGCGAGCAGCAGCAGCAACCGCAGCAGCAACCGCAGCAGCAACCGCAGCAGCAGCAGCAGCAGTCTCCGCTGCAGCTGGTGCAGCAGCAGCAGCAGGACGAGGCGAACCTGCAGCAGCAGCTGCAACGGCTGGAAGAGCTGCTGCAGCGGCACCAGCAGCAGCAGCAGCAGCAGCAGCCGTCTGCTCTGCTGCCGGAGACATATCCTCAGCTGCAGCAGCTGCAGCAGCAGCTGCAGCAGCTGCAGCAGCTGCAGCAACTGCAGCAGCTGCAGCAACTGCAGCAACTGCAGCAACTGCAGCAAGCAGACAACTCCTTGCTGCTATCTCCTCTGTCTCCCTCTGAACAGCAGCAGCAACCGCAGCAGCAGCAGCAGCAGCAGCAGCAGCAGCAGAAGCCGCAGCATCAGTCTCAGCGACAACGCCAGCAGCTGCTGCAGCAACGCGTGCAGCAGCACCTGCACCAGGAGCAGCAGCAGCAGCTGCAGCAGCACATACAGCAGCAAGCGCAACCAAAGCAGCAACAGCAGCAGCAGCAACTGGTGCAGCAGCAGCAGAACCCTGACGACAGCGATCAGCAGCAGCAGCAGCAGCCTTTAGTAAGCGCAATAGAAGCAGCAGCAATAGCTATTCTAGCAGCAAATAGTATAATAAAAACAGGAGACAAGATGATGGAGACAATGCCTATAGAAGAAATATATAATATATATAAACAACTACAAACCACTGATTTCTTTAGAGCTAGAGATATACAAATACTAGGGTCTAGGGCCCCATTCATATACAGCAGCAGCAGCAGCAACAGCAGCAGCAGCAGCAGCAGCAGCAGCAGCAAACAGCACCTTATACCCCCACCAGGAGCAGGCAAACCCTCCGTTTTATGCACACAAAAAGGAATGACCTGCTGCGTACCTGAAACTGCTGTACTCAATTGGAGAGAACAATTGTAAGATATAGGGTTTAGGGTTTAGGGTTTAGGGTTTAGGGTTTAGGGTTTAGGGTTTAGGGGTTAGGGGTTAGGGTT